TCTATCTTCCGTCCTCAAGATATCGGTTACTTCAAGATCTTCTTCAAGATAATAGCCGTATTTTGTAGTTCTGCTTAGATATGTTTACCACGGATGTCATTTAGATAGTTTTGAAATGATCGTGCCCAAATATTTTATTTTTCTGTGTTATATCTAACTGGCTAGTTTACGTGGTGATTGTCTGTTGCCCAAACGGAACATCAGAGTTGGAGGACCGCGAGTGATTATTTGCAGCTGCGAATACTCTCCATTTATGGAGGACGTTCTCTTCATCCGATTCTTAAGGATGTGGTTTGGCGACAAGGGATTTACTTAAAATGGTGGCATGGTCTAACACTTGGAAATTTAACTGCTAATATGTAAAAATGTTCTTTCGGACTTTGGCCATCGTACAATTTATGAAATTGCAAAAGTCCAACGTTTCAGAAACTGAATTCGGCTTTGGTCTTCAGGTTGGAAAGAGGGAAGAGGACAGAAAGACTTCTGTTGAACCCCCTGGTTGAGCTAGTCTCAGACTTGGACGTCCAGGTTAACGTATTGTCCCAAATCCCCTCAAGATGTCACCGCTTTCAAATACATTCATTGAGCTTTAGATCGGTTTTGCTTCACAGCAGTTGTACTTACTGAACATGGCATAAAAGACAAGAGGAAAAAAAGTCAATTTTTTTGCGATTCTGTGAAACGGCGCTGAAATTGATGCGTCATATTCTATTTTATGTTTTCCAATAGCGTGCTAACATCGTAAACAAGAGGACCCGATTTGGAACTTCTAATGTGACAGAGGAAGAAAATAGCATAGAATTCATACATTTATAGCTCACATAAATAGTTCATGAAGTTAAACAGACAGAGAAGAAACAACAATTCATTTTACTAAAAAAACGAGAAGTTTTTCTTTGTTGGATTTTTCAATATACGGCAATGCCGTGCTGGTAAGTGAAACGTTTAACGTGTGCATTGCTCATAACAAAGTTTCTGAGTGTGGTTGCTGTTGAAACGTATATAAGGCTTAATAGCGCAGTATAACCTGGCGGATTTGATAGGAATTACCGTATTTCATAAATTTAAGACGAGTTTTTGCACATTTTAAAATTTCTGAAATCGGGGTGCATCTTACATTTTATGGCGTCTAAGAATCGATGTAGAAAAATTATATTGTATTATTAAAGCGCAAGGGAAATCTTCATTATCATAACTCTAGTCATGGAATATGAAACACAAAGACAATAAAGAGGATCCGAAAGTGTAAATACAAAGAAGTTTATGTTTGAATATTGACAATTCCTATTGTAATATACGTCTTTTCTTCTCCTCCTGAAAACATATTATTAAATCACGGGTGTATCTTATAGCCAATAGCGTGTTTTCCTGAAAATCTATTACTAAATCAAAGGCGCGTCTCTGAATAGACGGCGTCTTAAAATCTAGGAAATTACGAAAATTCCTTTTTGTGCTGAACAGTAATACAGTTTATCGTAGCAGTCTCTTTGCAAATTGCTTTGAAAATACAATATTTATAAGATATCTGTGTAAAGTAAATTAAATGTGAAAACAGCTCCCGTGCGACTGAAGCTAGATTCAGTAACAGCAAAGGAACATTTAATCCTGGACTGAAGTACAGTGTTAGTTATAATAGATGGACGTTGCTAAGTCGATAGATTGATAGCTTTTATGAATAAACTATCTGATCAAACTTAATACAAATTTGATGTGACAGAGAACGGATAGGCTTTCAGAGGACTGATTTAGGTCCTGTAGACACATAAGAGGCAGAAAATTCTTTCATAAGCCTACTTTGATGTTACCCGTTGACTTATAATGTCCCAGAGAGCGCACGCTGAAAAGTAGTCACATGAGGACAGAAGTAAATCCTATTCCCGAACGTTACATTCATTACATCTGTTTCGTAAAAGGACACTGACATTTTGCTCTAAGCACAGCCATGGCACGTTTCACACGGGCATGAAAGTTCGTTTCTCAGGGTAACGCAGACTGATGGTGTTCGAGAACTAGGCAGGGATGGGAGGATAGTGAAAACTAAGCATTGAACAGCTTCATAATTTACATGTTGACCTACAGTTTGAATCCTGCTGTCATTGCCTTCAAATCGGGGGAGCTGTGATACGTTCAAATAAAACATAATTTTAAAATAATTATATGCTTTCATTATCCACTGTGAGATGATGCATTCAGTGATATTGATTAAGTGAAATTTCTATATAAGGATTTTAGATTTATATTTAGAAATATTTTAATTGAGTCTTGAGTTATTATATGACGCTGTTTCAGTTTCTTGGTATCAGAGCGTCGAATGAACGGATTAAGTGAATAAGAAATAAATTTAATTTGTTATTATAAAAGTAGTAGTGCTGTTTGATTTTTATGATAGCCACGACAAATTAGATATTTTATCTGATCTGTGGGACGAGAATCATACCCGCTTCTCCAAACACGAAATGGATATACTAAGTGTTTACGTCTATTTTGTGGGGTTAAATTAAATTATACGTGAGGTATATCAGGGCGCTATGGCTTGTCGGGAGACGTTTTGAAGCAGTTCACTTCATCTTTATTCTTCTTGTATCAAGTGCATACGTGAAGGCGCGATAGGGAGGTCATGTATGTCTGTATTTCACTCCCGAATTTACAGACAGAATGTCGATTGAATTCGACGTTAAACTTTGTCGATGGAATTTAATTTGGTACTTGTAACGTAATTTATTACTTATGAATATGGAATTGGATTTTATGCGTTTCGTAAAAGCGATTCCTGTTTTCAAATGTGTACAAGATTTAAAAAATAGACACATAGACATATCGGTAAGTTACAGTTGGTAACATTGCACAGAGAAATAATTTCTGACTCCTAGCAACATGGTATGTCTTACTGTTGCTTTACAGCGATGAATTTGTACCTTTTATGAACAAGTAGGAAGACCTGTAAAGTATGCTTAGTAGGAAAGTGTACGATTTGTAAACATATACCTTTAAAATCTTGTCCTACTTTATTGTCAGTTTGTTGGTTCAGATGTCAGTACATATTAGTAAGAGTTGGCACCGTTGCCACAAATCCTCATGTTAATCTGGACCAGATACGAAAAAAAGTTACCGTAATGCGACTTCGTACGTTTCTGAGGACGTTAACTGTCATATTGTCATATTTCCATACATATATTTTTTTATCTTTCTTGGGTCCTTGAAAATACCAACATTCTTATCTGAAACCCTGACATACTACAAATTACGAGTCTATCTACGACTTTACCTACAAGCGGAAAATACTACAATGAATGTTATTTGCTTGAACATTTTCGGAGGGAGTGCGTTAGCGCGCGTAAGTATGCGTGTATGTATACATTTATTTAATAGCTCTGTTGTCACACTTAAGAAATTCGCAAGGGTTATGTCAATATTATTTACGGTAGTAAATTATAATTACTAAGATAATGTGGCTGTTAATGGTGGCATGCTGATAACAAAAAGTTGATAAAGGAGCATGAAATGTGCATTCAGGCACGCGCACACACCGAAGTTTGCAGCCGCTGAGGAAGTTGGTTAAATGAGAACGATTATCATGCACATTTCGAGTCCCTGCTGGGACACCGACTATTTCATTGGTGGCTTTGTAGTTTTACCCATTCCGTGACAGTACCCTGAGATTTACCACGACCACTTCCTTCGCAGTTCTTTCACGTTCACTAAACACGATTATATTTCCCTACTCTGCAACTGATCAGTGTCGTTAAATAGCCTACAGTCCATTCAGCCACACAACTTTTTTTGCTAAGGAAAGTTGCATTATTAAATATTCGCGATCCTATGGCTTGTGGCAAGTACCAGTAGAGTTTTGCGGAGTTGCATTTTGCCGATCCTGGGTGTGGATTGTGGCTCTATGAGCATGATTACCAAGTTGCGTGTCAGACTCTTGCAGAACATCATTATTATCTTCCTAATTGCAATCATTGTTGACTGAATCATGACTCTGATACTGAGCTCATGAAATTTCCTGGTATTTCTGTATGACAACGTAATGAGTCTGAAAGAACTTATTACTCTGCCGTCTGTCGACGTCATTTGCTAGCATTGCGACACCGTGAGAATCACCCTGTGTTTAATTAGTGTAACGCCATCTGATAACCAGAATATTACCATTGAGTTTTCGAATGTTTAACAAGGTTTTGTTTGGTGAGATTTGAGGCTCTGACGGCGGCGAATAAGAAGATGGCTGTCTTCTGATTTGTTGCGCCGTGTAATCTCATTGTCTGGTATCATCGCCCTAATGATGAAGATAGCAGACACCTCTGAAACGTCGGCAAACTTATACCAGACCAAACGACGCTACAACCCAGAAAACATCTATCTCGAAAGTTATATTCACTCAGTAGCCTGTGATCGAAGGAAATAAATCTGAACAAAGATGTGAGCAATGATTTATATAGATCATCTAGTATTGTAAGAATAGTAAAGTATAGGGCCCTTGGATTTGCTGGTTGAATGGTCATAATAGAAACGGCTGCATGTGGCGTATTTAATTTTGGTGGACATAATTTGGAAAACGTACACTTGGGAGACCAAGAAGAAGATGAGATGATTGTTAGGGTAGTAGCGTGTGAGGAATGAAGGTGATAGAAACTGCTCATTATTGTAACCAGTAAGTGAACTTTAATTTTAAAACTCCCGAATATTCTTCTTAAACTACTATTACAATGTTACGTAATCGTTAGCCTGCGAATGTTTATTATGTTTACCGAACTTAGCAGTCACTGTACTTAGTATTTGGGAGGTATAGTGCTCGATTCTTGTCCGAAGGCGGGTTGTATAGACTGACTGTTAATAGTTTTTTTTATTTGTTTCACGGAGATGCCGTGATAATGCCTCAAATAGGCTGCAGGCAAAATATTCTGTGCATATTTTTGAAGCCAACCTGTCGTTAGACTCTGTTTAACATATGCAAGCGAGAAAGTCTTCAAGTGTATTAAGAGGAAACATGTTTGTTCCAGGAATCGAATCTCGTTTATGCCGGAGGACGATTTAAGTTCCTGGGTCCAACATATCCATTGAGGTAAAGTAAAGTCAGAATTATTTAATTTTTTTCAGTTTAGTCGTTACTTTGTCTGACATATCCTTAAACCCAATGCATCACTCATATTTAACTGTATTACGATTAATCTTAAGAATATCAGACTCCGGTCT